GGCGGTCCGGCGCACTTGGGCAGGTTTTGACGCCGTGGCGCGTGGCGCGTGGGGTGGGGGCGGTCTCGGTTTCTGGCGCGCCGCGACTCGACCGGCCGTGGGCGCGCGGCGACGGACTGCGGCAACGGCCACCGCCCGCCGCCGCCCCGGCCCAGCCCAGTGCACTCGAACTTTACCGGTATGGGAGTTTTTGGCTAATCAAACTGCGACGATTATGGATATGCAACGGTGGCATAAGGCGACTGATACACCGTCGCACAAAACCCCCTGGCCTGCACTAATCAAAAAGTGGTATATGGGATACCACGTCGACGTGCGACTAGTTGCAAAAAAAGTCTCACGTGGAAAAACCACGAAAAACTACCAAAAACGCAGTCACGGTCAGCTCGGCACTAGGGATCCCTACATTGAACCGACGCCATACACGTATCGCCGCCGTGCTCCATTGGGAGATACAGGAATCCCGGGACTCGGGACACCCCCCCCCCCGCCCCCCCCCCCTCTTGCAGGGTGGCGCGCGATCGCTAGCTACGCCACGATCGATCGGTCGGTTCAGTGCTTGCTCGTCGATCGAGCAGCCGACCTCGTCTCTCTCTCTTGCCTTCCTTCCGCCGCGAGCGCCCGGCACCACACACCGCTTACTGCTGCTAATTGGCGCCGCGCCCTGCGCGTGCGACAGCTAGATCAGCTTCGCGCGGCCCGGCGCCGTCAATCGACTTGCTTGAGGATGTGCTTGGAGCGGCCGCCCAAGGAGGAGGTAGCGGGTAATGATCTCCACATTATGCGGACGCCAAGACGAATAAGGGCTTTCATAAATGGCAACACGTTGAGTCCAGTCACGCTGATGTAGTGAGAGACGCACGAACTTTGCCGTATGTATCTCTCTCTTGCCGTACGTACGTCCGTACGTCACTTTCCCTGATCTTTTTGGCGACAAATACACAAACATCTACTGGTGGTAAAATTCTGGTGGGTCCTTATAACGCCAACTTTTCGATCTTTGGCAGCAAAAACGAACGCACGACCTACTCGTAATGCACGTGCGTTTGCTCCTCGCCTGCGCGGTGGTGCTCGATCGCCTTGACGGTGGAGGGCGGGTTGATGCGACGTATGCTGATGACCAGAGCGGCGCCCATACGGCGGCCGATGGGTCTCGCCTCGAGGTTGGAGATTGGACTTATAGCTTCGCATTGAGCTCGCCGTCGCTGTCGCCGCCGGACCTGCCGCCGCCGCCGCAGAACCATCAGGCGAAGCACGCAGGAAACGAAAAGGACGGGAAGGGCGGCGACACAGGGAGCGTGCTCGTTCCAGGCAGAATCGCTCAAGCGGCTGAGCGAGGCGACGAGGCGGCGGTGCTGGCGTTGGTCGACGGTGGCGGGCAGGCGAACGCGTTCGACCCGCGTTGGCCTCCGTTGCTGCGCCTCGCCGCCGGTAACGGCCACGAGCGGGTGGTGGACTTGCTGCTGCAGCGCGGCGCGGAGATCGACATGCGGGATAGCGACGGCGGCACCGCGCTGATGTATTGGGCCGGCTACGGCCACGAGCGGGTGGTGGACCTGCTGTTGCAGCGCGGCGCGGAGATCAAAGATCATGGAGGGTGACCGTCGGTGCCCGTACTGTCGCGAGGAGGTGATGATGTGGATGATTCCACGTGAGGTCTGAACTCTGATTTGCGGGTGTTCCATTGGTGATAACTCCTAAAGTGAAGTCTTTCATGCAGCCCCGACCCGTGTCACAAAAGTCAAAACATTTACGATTACATTACATGCGATGATTGCGACTATGATGATCCTCTAACACAGCAGAAGACCAATTGGGAGTCACAGAGTTAGAAAATCAGGGTTGCAGCAGCAATCAAACTTGGCTGGCAGTACTTTCATCCCTCAGTTGCAGCCTCTCAAAAGTTCCGCTAGCTCAAGTTGCAGCTCAGTTGCACCCCTGTTGATGTAGCAACATGGCAGTACTTAGGTAGCCCTCAGGTGCTCGTGCACAGCACACCTTGTACAGTGGCAATGAATCCTCACACCAGTGAGCTTGTGCCATTGAGTACATCGATGCCGCCCTTGGGCGCGGTTAGAAGCCGCGCCAACACGTGGTGTGGTACGTAGTGATTGGAGTGGTCTGACCGTGCTTGGTCGACACGGTCGAGGTCCCCCGTAGGCTCGCGAGACGTCTCTCTCCCTCCTCCTTGCGGATGGGGATCGGCATCTGGACCCGGAAGTGGGTGTCCAGCAAGTGTGAGTCGTGAGCCGCGTGCGCGGCTCTGCGGTGTTGTTGATCGCGGGTGAGGCTGCAAAGCCGTCCTCGATCCGGGTGTCGCCATTCAGACGTCTGTAGGGTTCGTATACGGAACTCGTACCCGAGTGGTTTAAGGGAATGGTGTCGTACAACACCGGGAATGCTGGGGGTCGATCGGGAGACGACGCTCGGCCACCACCAACTCCACCCTGACGTGTCGTACATGCGCCGAGTGTACCCCCCGAGGTTTTCCTTGTATAGTATACTTGGTTGCGAGTTAAAAAAAGCCCATTCCGCGCCCGCAGCCAGCAGCAGTACACATGCCGTTCTGGTGCCCCTCGGCTGGCCAGAGGCACGCGAAGAGGGTGCGTGCGCAGCGCGTCGCGGCCGCGCACTTGGGTGGGAGCCGGGGGGATGGCGCCCCGGAGGGGGCGGGACGCCTGCATGTCCTCGAAGCTCCCACCCGCATACGCAAGCCGAGCCGCGAACGGCGGCGAGAGAGTTTGGCAGGGGGTCAGCGAGGACCGCGCATGGCGAAGGAACCTTTTTTAGGACCCAGCGGGCAGCGCAAACACACCGTCTCCCCTCTCCATCGTGCCGCCCGGCCGGGCGCCGGCCCCGCCCGCCCGGCGCCGGCGCCGGCGCCGCCGATCCCGTCCAAAGATGTGGCTGTGCTCCTGTGGAGATATATGACAGCACAAGATGTGAACAATACACAAAAACGTGAGGTAGAGTCTGGAACACACCGCGGCCCTGTATGCGGACTGCCTCGCTCTAGCGGCCGCCCTCGTCCGAGCTGGCGCCCGAGTCGTCGTCGTCAGAGAGCGGCGTCGCGCGGGCGCCGTCTGCGTACCGCTGGCGGAAGCGCGCGACCTGCTTGGCCTTCATCTTGATTGCGCCCGCCATGCCCAGCCAGTGCTCGAGCACCTGAAGAGGGGGGTCGTGGTGTCAACGGCGCAAGGGCACTCGCCCCAAGGCTGCCCCCATTCGGGCTCGGTGGGTCCCGTGCGCTAGGCGGAGGCTGACGCGTGGCTAGAGTGTCGCAGAGGTATAGCCGGAAAGCTCCTAGCGGCGCCCGATCTAGTTGCGCGGCCCGTCGCAAGAAGCGTCCGCAGAGAGCTGTGAGGGGCTGTGGGCCCCTCCGGCACTCCCGCGCCCAGTGCCTCCCATCCGTGGCCTGCCCGTGCCTCGACTGGCCCCTGGCCCCTCCTCACAGCTGTGACCCCTCCTCACAAGTCACTCCCTCCTCACAAGTCACTCCCTCCTCACGCGCGCCACACCGAAGGCACACCCAAGCCGCTGCTCGGCCGCCCGCCATCACTGCCTCGGCTGACCTCGGCGGCTCCTCAGGCGGATCTGGGGCGAAACTCAGGCCGCTCTCCGTCCCATCTAGCTCGGATCTCGGCTCGATCTCGGCCCGATCTCGGCTGTATCTCGGCTGTATCTCGGCTGTATCTCGGCTGTCTCTCGGCTGTCTCTCGGCTGTCTCTCGGCTGTCTCTCGGCCGTATCTCGGCCGTATCTCGCCTCCGTGCGAAAGTCGTCCTTTCCGCCGAGGTCCTCGAAGCCAAACAGCTGCTCTCCCTTGACGCCGTCCTAGCAGTAGCAAGCGGCCTTGGTGACGGTGAGACTGAGGAGGGAAGAGCTGCTCTGTCTCAGACGCCGTCCTTGAAGACCAGGACGGCGGGCAGGACGGTGAGGGCGAGTTTGCGCACAAAGAAGGGCGCCTGTGGCAGGCAGCTCATTCATGACTTCATTAGTTGCTGTGGTAGCACGTGAGTAGTTGGTTCACATTCATTCATTAAGAGCGTGCGGACAAAGGAGGGCGCCCCTGGGGGTGGGGAAGGGGGGGGGAGAGGGGGGGGGGGGGCAGGGGAGCAGGGGAAATAGAAAGGGATGGGGAGGGTGGCAGGGTGGCAGGTGCCCCCCAGGGAGCGAGAAGATGAAGGGAAGCCCACGAAGGGGGGGTACGCCCGGAGAGGGCAAGGCGCCTT